GCTGTCCCCCTCCTTGCGCCCCCCTCGGCGGTGGCCACGGCGGCTTTTGATGCAGCACAGTGTCCCCTCGGGGCCGGGTGTCCTGGCAGGTCTTCACCCCCCGCGTGAAGGCACGTCCCCAGACGAGGGGCTGTGGCGTCGCAGAGGCAGCCTGCTCTGAAACTAATTAACCTTATTACGTCCAAAGGAGCTAATGAGAAGTACCCAGCTCCACGATAACAATCAGGCTCTTGGAGCAGGGTCGCTGGCTGGAGGGTGTGAGGGAGCAGCTCTGGTCTGCAGGCATGTGGCTCGCCGCTGGCAGGACCTCGGTGGGCTCCGTCCCTCTGCCGGGTCGTCCATTGGGGCAGCAATTTTAATAGGGACCCCATGTCTGCAGGCAGCGGAGGGTGCTGCGCTCGGGGGTGGCACGCTGCGCTCGGGGGTGGCACGCTGCTCTCGGTGCCCCAGGGCCAGGACAGGGGCCACTGTCACCTGCGCCCCCAGGACTGTTCCCACGTGGCAGTCAGTTAGCGTTGCCCGAGGGATGGGAGTGCCGGGGAGGACTTTGCCAAACTGATGGCATCCGCTCCCCCTCGCAGAGCTTCATCTGGGGGTGGGATTCAGCGGAACGACCACGGGGGCTCCTCCAGCCCCTGACCCTCAAGGACATGCCCGTGGTAGGTCCCATGTCAGCTCAGCCCTGTGCAGGTTCTCTGGGTACCTCGCACGGTGACGGTGCCCCCCGGTAATGCTGCCCAGCTCTGGTTTAAAATCTCTGGTGTAATAAATCCCTCCTCTCTGCTCCAGCGAGAAACCTTAGAGCCAAGTTCACCTTGGCCCAGGGGCTGACGTGGTGCTGAGCGGTATCTGTAGGGTCTGCAGTAAAAAAACCTGCAGAGTGCCCAGCCCAGCTGGGGGGATGCGGGTGAATGAGCCTTTGGGGAACAGGGAAGCGCGGCGGGCAGGGCGCCTCCAAATTAAAGGCGACTTATCTTCGGTGAGAGCCCAGAAGAAAGGGTTTTGGTAGGTGCTCATTGGGTGGGAAACAAAAGGGCTGGTGAAGCTTAATTTAGCCGTGCACATGGCTCATGGAAGGATGGATGAAAATGCACAGAGGCTCTTTTTTTCCTCCTCTTGTTAGTCCAGGAGATGTTCAGAGAATGCAAAATCTTTGCAACTTCCTTGTCTCGCTCAGGGCTTGCTACGACATTGATGGACGCCACAACAGATAAGGACCCGCTGGTGCAGGAGCAGATCTACAATGCTTTGTGCTACCTGGGGGAATCTGAGCCAGAGGAGATCCTCAACTCCTGTGATGAGTATCTCCGGCAGCACGATAAGGTGAGGCTCTGCTCTGCGCGGTCCTGGGAACGTCAGCAGGAGGAGAAATATTTCCTGGTGGCTTAGGGACATTGGCTCTGTCAGCAAGCGAGGGAGATACCGGGGAGGGTCTGGGCTACGAGAGCGGTGGACCAGCTGGTTGAGAAGTCTGCTCCGAGGCGCTGGAGTTGTGCAGGTGAAGAAGCTGTGCTAATATGCTGTTGTGGATGAGAAATGCAGCAAAGCTGATCGGTGCTTCGAGTCTTTGCCTTTTCCCGTGCAGGCTGCGTGGTGGGAATGTTAGCCAGTCCCTCGCCGCGCAGCTCTGGCACACGCAGGTTTCTCTGGCCCCGGGGCAGCCGTGGTGCCACGCTCAGCTCGGCTGACCGGCCGCTTTCTCCCTCCCTTTTCAGCTGGGCTACCCTCACCGCGTGATCATCCTGAAGGCAATGGAAACTGTGGTGAAGAACAACATTGCTCTCTTGGACAAAAGCACAGCGAAGGTGGTTATCTTCCTGGCGTCTAATGAAATGACCAAGTCAAAGGTATGACCCAAAAGCTCCAGGTTCTTCCTACCGTTCTCAGCCCTTTCTGCCCCGATGCCTTCGGCGCAGTAAATGCTGTGGGTCTGGGGCTGCCCCAGTGGTAGCCATTACCGGGACTGCTTCCGTGGAAGGGAGGAGTTCAGTGCCATCTTCTGGATGTGGGGCAGTGGAGGGAGTAGGGGATGGGCTACATTCCCCTCTCTGGCAAGAGATGAGGATGGTTTGGCTGACGGATTTCTTCCAGCATGGTGTGCATATGCAGCCAAATAAAATTTGGGTGCTGAAAAGGCCCCAGACAGGCAGGTGGGTGTTAGAGCAGGAAGAAGGCAGTGCCTTGAGGGGCTGCAGGTCCACACAGGGCAAAGATCGTGTCTGAATCTTGAGCCTGTTGTTTAGAATCTTAGAATGGTTTGGGTTGAAGGGACCTTGAAGATCATTGAGTGCCCCCCCCTGCCCTGGGCAGGGACACCTCCCACCAGCCCAGGTTGCTCCAAGCCCCGT